TCACCGGCCAGATGAAGTTAAAATAGAAAAAAGAAAAACTAGTGCTGCTGTTGTTGCTAATGCTGCTGCTGCTGCTGAGATGGCTGGTCATTACCGGCTGTAGGGGCTCCTTGGGTTTCCAGGGTTTGGGTATCCTCTGCCCCACCCGGCACATTCTCTGCCTCTGGCTCCTCTAGGCTGGCCAACTCGTCGAAAGGTGCCGGCTGTGGTAGCCCGAGAACTTGAGCATCAAACACTTCAGTAGCGCATTTGTACCTCAAGTGGAAGTAAGCAAAGTCGGTATCCGGGTAGATCATGGACCATGCCATCTTCATGCGCGCCTCATAGTCGCGCTCATTCTCGGCCACCAGCCGGTTTTTTTCAACCAACAGCTAGTCCAGGTGCTCTTTCTTGGTTCTCACCAGTTCACCCTTGGCCTATTCCAGCTCTTTCCCCAACCGGGATACGGTATCTTTAAGACCAGCTCTCTCCTTATCAGCCTCCTTCAAAGCATTGAGGTCTGCTTTAAGCTGATCAATCTTGAGCTTCCGGTCCTCTACAGCTTTGTTGGCCTTGTCAGCAGCATCCGTCAGTTCCCGGATGAGTTCCTCTTGTTTCATCTTCCTTGCTTTAGTTTTGACTTCAAGCATTATGGAGTTGTATTGACATACATCAAGTAATTCGGCTGCCTGTTTTTGGGCATCCCTTACCTCCTCTTGCTTCTTCCGCAAGGGGGTTTTCATGGCATCAACCCTCAGCAACGCCTGCAGAGTCATCCGGAAAAAGAGTTAGTTCAAAACAAAATAAATATATATTTTTTCACCAAAGCACCCCATTCGGTGGTTAGCAAAATAACAAAAGCAAATCCATATTTTTCACCAAAGCACCTCATCCGGTGCTTGACAAAATAACAAGAAAACACCCCAACCGGCATTCTTACCTCAGCAAGCAGAGAGTTAATCTGGTCAAGGTTAACCTGGTTGATACCCGGCACTTCCTCCCGCTCAGACCGGGTAGGGGACCTCTGCATCCTCCTGGCGTAGTTTTTCATGTCAGGGAAGCGAGAGGCGGTATCTGCATCATTAGAGATATTGGTAAAGTGTTGGGCATATATGGCCCCTATATCCAGCTGATCGCCGGAGGGCTCTCCTTATTGAGAAGTGTGAGACTTGACTCGAACTGGCCCAAGCGGCCAGGGGGGTCAAAAGGGGAATCCATACCTTGAGTTATGGGCTGCGGGGTGCCACCACCCCCAGCCGCATTAGAGCCGGATGCAATAGCAGGCACCCGGCTAAGAGGAACCTCCGGCTCCTTAGTTCTTGCCCCAGCCGGACCCAAACCTCCACTTGGGGCTTGCAGACTTTTGCCTGCAGTGGTAGGTCTCTCGCCGACTAAGATTGGGGCAGGGCCGGCTGAGGTCCTTCGCCTTTGAGAAGCCGGCTGAGGGATCTCTTCTCCTGGTCTTCTGACCATTTGTCTTATAGAGCGAGGCACATTCTGGCTCCCCGTTTGCAAAGGATTAGAAATCACAAAGTTAATATCAAATTGTTTACAAGATATACAAGCGGTATAGAAATCATCCGGTATTTACCCCGCCGGCCTTGGCCGCCAGTTGGGCCCGCTTGGCCTCCAACTGCTCCTTCCTCACTTCGGCTGCTAACTTAGCCGGTGTCATCTCAGGAGGAGTCATCTCGAATCCTTTCTCTGCAAAATAACAAGGAAAAATGTGAGAGGCATTCAAACATATTACAGGCGGCACAGCATGCCGATTAAGCAGTAAACATACGTTTGTCCCAAAAGATGCTCAGACCGCAGGCGGAAAGGAACGCCTTATTCTTGAGCCAGTCCGGATGAGGGACCCAGAATTTAGGGACAATGATTTGTGTCCCATCATCCAAAGGCTCAGTTGTTTTCTTAAATAAGCCTGGTTCCATGATGGCATCCCAAGCCTAAGCCGGTACCCTGGGTAGGGCACACTTCCTTCCCAACAGAGCCGGCTTCTTATTATAACGGCGTATCCGATGATTAGCAGTCGTAGAAGGGGAAGAGACGTAGTAGAACTTGCTTTTCCAGCTAGTCCACTTGGAGGGCTTCTTCAAGGTCATCATGTACTCCGGATGCGTATTTAGTGTTTACCACGCATCCCAGCCACCCGGTTCCCGGCTCAGATAGTGCATATGGGCAAACGCCTCCCAGCTAGACGTAACCTCCTGCATCTCGCAAGCGGCTATGTACCCTAAAATATTGACCCAAGAGTTGGGTATAAGCTGCCAGACGCCCAAGTCGTAGCCCCTTAAGATGGCTTTGATGCATCTGTGCAGGGGGAACCGGAGGCCGGCTTTGAACGCCGCCTCATAGCAACCGAAGTAGTTATCGGCATGCTTAAGGTCGTCTTCCCAGACTACTGAGGCATCAGTCGGTGGAACGCCAACCTCCCAGTCCTCCCCAACCGGTCGTTTTTTTCAAAAATGCCGGGAGAGTTGCGTTTAAAGTCACTACATCCCGGGCGCTCATGTGCGCCTCCATTGGATTGTTTATTGAAGGCCAGTTGTATGCCTTCTCATTCTCTTCAAGGCCATCCGGTGTCATGGTAGATTCCGTTGATCAAGACTCCTGATCGGTTTCCCTGCCGCTTGAGTCTCCGGACTCTTCCAGAATCTCATCACCAGGCGTACTTGGAACGCCTGGTTGATCAAAGGGAACCTCCTCAACTGGAGTCCCGGCTGAATTGTCTGACTTGTACTCGGGGTCAATAGTCGTTTTCCTTGTCCGAGCCATTCTATCCTGCACAAGAGCAGAGACGGTCGGATTCGCAGAAAAGTAAGGGTGTTCCACACACCGCCAGACGGCATCCCCAGTCCTAGATTCAGCCGTATCCAGTGACCGGTTGAGAACTGCCCTAGGCCGTGGTGTGTGTGTATTGGGAGAGTCCATTATTCTCTAACCTATACAACCGGTAAACTCAAGAGGTTACAAAGGGGCAAAAGTGATACCTTGACTTTATGCGAGCGGTTGAAGAAGACTTGAGTGCTGAGAATTCCAAAGTGTGACCTGAAGATGCCACAGGCGGAGAAGTCCGTTTGAGTTTTTGAAGAACCTGAAACACAAATACAAGCAGTCGGGCATTGTGCAAGAAACTCATACAAAGATACCCCAAGCGGTGTCAAAAGATCTTGCCTAAAGATACCCCAAGCGGTATCAAAAGATCTTGACCAAAGGTATCCCAGATGGTATCTGGAAAGCTTGCCCAAAAGTACCCCAGACGGCATGTAAGCTGCCTGAGGTTCTAATATGCTAGGGTTGCAAAGCATCGTTCAAAAGCCCCACAGGCGGGATCAATGAAGACTGCTTAAAAGGCCCCTAGGAGGCAGTAATACCGGCTGAGGGCCTTATGAATGCAAACAATTACTACAAAAATTACTCCGAAATACCCCAGGTAGACTATTTCCGGCTGAAGGTTTTACAAGTGTTATGGGCAAGTTATGAAGACCAATCAGGCATACCCCAGGCGGATTAAATCCAGATGAAGGTATCATGAATCCAAGACTCTAAGTTCAAGGATCTGTTGTTTGAAGATACCCCAGGCGGCACCTAGCCGTCTGAGGGTCTGAGTTTAAAGATCTGTTGTAAGGTACCCCAGGCGGCACCTAGCCGTCTGAGGGTCTATGAGATGCAAGTTTAAGAAGTAATTGTTCAAAAATGACCCAGGCGGAATATTACCAGCTGGGGGTCTACTACATGCAAAGCATTAGACAGTTATCCGAAAATAACCTAGACGGCATGTAACCGTCTGGAGGTCCTTTGAATGCAATTCTTTGAAAAAGATTGAATAGAGAGGCCACGGGAGGTATATCATCGTCTGTGGGTCTATGAGATGCATAAAGTGAAAAGCCCCTTGGTTGAAGAAACCCCAAACGGCCCATAGCCGCCTGGGGATCTAAACTTGGAAACTATGGTTTGAAGGTACCCTACACGGTCCAAACCGCCTGTGGGTCTACCAAATGCAAAAGATGAAGGAAAGGCCTCAAGGTGCCCCAGACGGTATAAGACCGTCTGTAGTTCTACGCAAATCAAGAATAAATCAAGAAGCAACCGGTACCTGGGTTAGCTGAATGAAGAAGTACTCAACCGATATCCGGGTGTGTCTAATCAAGAAAGCTGAGTGCAATAAAGCAGCCGGTATCAGAGCTCTTTTGAGGATTTTTTGAAAAACAGTAAAGTGAAGAGGAGAGAGGGGTATGGCTTTATTTATAGAGATGCCCAGAAGGCGAATCGCCACCTTGTGCTTAACCTTTTCAAAATTCAAAACCAAGAGAGAGAGGCAGGAAGCAACCCATGCGTCGCCTCCCCTGTGTTTGACACCTGTCACAGGTGACACGTGGCTACGCCACATCACACCTGTGGGGGGAAAATGTTTGGGGTAAAAATACCCATGGCCACGTGGCGCAATAATGTCATGACACGTGGCAGCCCACTAGAGGCACAGCGGTATCCAATCAGATGCTGACACGTGGCATCAAAATCCTAATCAGGGGACATGTCTCCCTTGATATAAATAGGGGGAAAATCCTCATTTATGATTAATTCATAAATACCCACACAAAAATCAGAGCAATATTAATTGCAGAATCTCCTGGAATCCGAGAGAAAAGACCATTTACTTTCCGCACGTAATCTCATCCGGAATTTGACTTGATCTTCGAAGGCGGAACTTCACCTAATCGGAGTTTCGTGGTTTTGCAGGTACAGAGGTCAGGCGTACATTCTCAGTGCTGTAACTCTCCCGCAAGACACATCCAAAAACCCCGAAACAATAATAATAATAATAATAATAATAATAATAACAATAAAAATAATAATAATCAATAACAACAACAACAACAACAACAACAACAATAATAATAATAATAATAATAATAATAATAATAATAATAATAATAATAATAATAATAATAATACAATTAAAATCAGAATTTAAAAAAAATTAGAATTTTATTAATATTAATTCAAAGTTTGTACATTGTTACCTATAAGGAAAATTACAAAATTAAATTATCACTAGTTAAACTAAGAAACAAAACAACTAAAAGTTAAAACTAAATCATTTTGTCCGCCAAACAATATTTTTGGCAATTCTTTGGACCGCATTATCATTTCTTTTTGTTGCTGCTCCAATTTCTCGTAAAGTAATTCATGAAGCATCTTCTTCAATTTCATAGGAGGGAGCTCCAATGGTTTTTCCTTAAGAATCAGATTATATTTTGTGAATTATTCAAAGAATAACACCAAGTAAGACCACCAGTCCACCACTAATATAATTAAAGAAAAATATTTCTAGAGGTAAAAGGTAGGGAGCAGGGCAACAAGATGTTAAGATTCTATCCTCACCAGATCCTTGAAGAAAGGGACCAAAAAGACATGAGAATGGAACCACAGTCTCAACAGCAAATTGAAGCCTTGCCTTCTCATAACTCCCACTGGGGAGAGCTTCTGCATGACAGGTTTGAGCATACAAGTGAGATTATAGTAAGAAGATAAAAACACCAACTATACCATATGTAGAAAATATGAACATACACTATCACACAAGAACGATACTTATATAAAGGGCATGGAAATGTGAGCTCTACAATTTGATAAAGTGAATTTGATCATTTACAATGTCTACAAATCACAGAGAAAATGAACAATTTCAGAGACAAGATCAACATCAAGGCTAAACATCTTTGATTCTAAGAATTATACCTTATTGAAGCATTCGGATCTCAGAAGTAGCCACCCTCCCCCCCCCCCCCCCAAAAAAAAGGGCATTAAAATCCACAAAAGAAACATATCTCATCACTAATTCTTGTTGAATATATTAAGCAATGAGGACTACTATGAATTACAATATTACGTAGCTTTGGACTGCATTTAAAAATTAAATGCAAGAATAAAGTAAGGAGAAGTTTGATTGATTAGTAAACTGAATTACACCAATTACAAATGATATTTCCACTTTCAACATAATGTCTTCCTAATTAGCTCTATTCATAAAATATCTCCTCTGACAAGATAGAGCACCAAAAATCACATGTTTATGTTCATCCTCAATGTCAAGTAGCATAGTTGGTCTTATTTTAAGACCCCGAATCAAATCCCGTCAATATCACTTTATTCACAATTCCACACCAAATTGCTATATTTACCAAATGGATAAAGGATATCAAAGCTGACCTAGGCCAAAAATACAAAAATTGGAAAAGGAAAAGAATAGGAAAGAAAAGTCAACCTTTTGAGCAGCATAAATGAGGGCATGATTAGAGCAATGCCTAACATGGATTCGTTTCAACAACCCATCACTCAAATTGACTGCGGATATAAGAATCGCATCTATCTTGCTCTCAAATTCGGGAGACCACCAATGAGCTGACTCGGTATATGACTTAAAGTAAGGTTCAAGATCAAGAGAGTTGTTCATGAGAGGTGAGTCTTTGCTAAGGGGGAAGACATCAGGGTAGCAGGCAGGGGAGGGGGAAAGACAAGAATAACTAACAGTAGGGCAACAACCACAACCACTGTAGAGGCAGCGTCAATAACAAAACAACAGACAAAACATCACAGCGACAATAGCTTAACAATCACCATAAAACGACCCTAACCGACCTACTGCCCCAAAAAACACCTCAACCCAATTAAATCCTAACCCAATCTGCCATACACAACAACAATAGCTAAACAACAACAACTAACCACACGTATCAACTACTAACCACACGTATCAACAACCACAACATGCTGGATCAACAACAACAACAACTAACCACACTATAGCCTAAAAAGCATAACACACATGTTGTTTCAACAACAACAACCACACACATTCACTAACAGTTACCCATCCCGCCAGTAACCTAGGTTACTGGTATACAAGCATGATTAATTCTTCCACCACCTAAACAGGATTCTAAAAAAAAATAAAAAAAATTGACATGAAATGAACTGAGTTAGGGTTTCATAGAAACAGATACCAACGGCAAAATTAGCCCGTTTAACTAGCTCAAAGGGGGGGACTCCACGAAATCGATCTAAGTAATGATGGTTGCCAAAAGAGGTATGGAGGATAGCATGACAAGAGTAAGAATCCACACTTTGATGAACGCAATGATAAAGCCTCCAATAAAAGTCGATATAATTTGTAGAATTTTTCCAACCTGGAAGAGTACTTATATATATAAACAAAAAAAAAAAAAAAAAAAAAAAACACACACACACACACATAAGATGATCAAGACTAAGAACTATCAAAAGTGTCGATAATGAGTTACCTTTTCCCCTATAGCATCTTGTATGAGAACTGTATCCCCTGACATTCTCGGATTCTCCCAATGACCTCTCCTGTGTTGGTTTCCTTATCAAAGAAAGCAATATCTTGTCTAAGTATTGCTTTCACGTACAACTTCCTTAATCTTGTTGTCTGTCTTTCTCCTGTTACCATCCAGCAAGCCACCTCTGCGAGTGCAATAAAAATAATATTCTTCGTATGCATCTTCAATCATGGACTGTTTTTAACAAATGAAGCTTTTTGAGTATATTCACTCAATTATATTAGAACAAAAGATAAGGGATTTAGAGTGCTTACGAAGAAATGCAGCAATTGCAACTCCTATGGCCAAGTAAACAAATTTTAGAGACACCTGCAAGAAGCCAGTAGTGACTAAGTTGAGAATCTTTAGAGATATTGCAGGAATGGAGCAAACAACAAAGGGAGTACTATATACAATAACTATCTTAAGCAATATTAGACATGGGAGATCAATTAACCTCGGAGATGACATGAATGATTTTTTTGGTATTTTGATTCTCACCAAATGAATCAACAAATTCACCAATGATGATGGCCATCAAGGGCATACATACACCATTTGCGACAACACCAATTGAGCCAATGATCATCAACGCCTTGTCAATAGAATCCGCAAATGAGAAAAGCTTATAGAATGGAACTCTAGCATTATTCTTTTGGTTCTCATTGTGTTGATTTTGCTCACCTAACACCAAAATTGGAGGTTGTCGCCTCTTCAACCCCATTCTCCTTGTCCATTCTCTCACCGACTCACTCTTGGGTCTGGACTCTGGAGGAGAGTACTTAGTTACTAAAAAAAATTATTACTTGTATATACCTTTGCAAGAATAACATGATTTACATAAGCCTAAGACTTACTATATTCCTAATTCCTAATTTGTGTGTGTTTGTGGATTTAAATAAGCTAAGCCTTGATATAAGAGGAGAACAATGTAGCAGACAAAAGGATTAGCATGATGATTGATGAATTAATAGGCAGGTAACATATCTCAGTTGACAATTAAGCAAGAGCAAACAAGAAGAAGATGACGGGCGTTAAAGGAATTACATGACTATAATCAGAGCTAGCTAAATGGACTGAGCAAACAACAACATCTTGTCAAAAATAAATAAATAAATAAAATTAATAATTACACGAGTTTTATACCTATTTTACGAAAAACTAAACAAAGACTTAAACGAACATAATCAACAAAGCTGATTAGATTTAGTCCATGCTCCATAAACATAATAAGTGTAATTTGGCTTTGGTAGACAAAGCAACTGATGAAGCTAACTCTAGACAATATTGGGGTGGTAGTATTGCACGCTTGCAGCCCCTTTAACTTGAATTTTATGTCCGATCAATACAATTTCAAATGTCTCATTAGCTCATTTGGGAGGGTAGTTTCAAATGAGCTTATTAAATAACTTTAATCTATAAATCAAAATTCATCGTAGTATTTTTTTTTTCAAACTCTCCATAACAAAAGCCAATCAACACAGTTCAGGGAAAATGATCGATCATATGTATCACTACACACACATTACAGTATATATATATTGAGAAATAAAGATCATGTGTTTTTTTTGTTTTTTTTTTTTTGAAATTTTTTTTATAATAATCATTATAAAAAGAGATGGAGAGAGTAAAACTTACCCGAAAAAAATCAGCTTTCCTGTAATATTGGGAAAAAAAAAGAAAGAAAGCACTCAACTTCAAAACTCAAAGTTGTCCGATAATAAGGGAAAGGATTAATATTAACACATAAAAGAGTGATTTTCATCTTCATTGTTTAAAGAAGTACTCTATATTACAAAATAGTGTATCAATCAACCTAAAACATACAACACATACAAAATTGGCAGATTAATCACAATGAATAATACCAGAAGAAATCAATGGAAATTAAACTAACAGCATTGTGAATAAAATTTTACTCACCCTTCTTGACTTTGACAACCTTCCTCGAATGACGAGGTTTCACACAAGGCGCCTTACCACCACCACCTCCACCTTTCCCACGGTGATCAGAGAGGAATGTAGTCGATTTCGGCGAAGACGATAAACCCTTAGGCGATTCGAAGGAGACGGTACTGAATTCTCTGAAGCTATCTTCATCCTCTCCCTCCACTCTTCCGTTAAGAATCCTTCGTTTGACGCCATTTCTCCAATCCCTAAAAATTTCACACAAATCACCAACAATCATCACACAATCCATACCAACCAAAATCAAATTCAACTTTGTCCAAAATTCCTAACTCTAACATCATATCCAAATGAAAAAAAAAATCGGAACCCTAATCCTCGTTTGCGCCCAATTGTCTTCGTTGAAACCCTAATTCGTCAACAGAGGTGGTTTTGGAGTGGTTATGTGGTGGAACCCTAACCCTAACGCCACCGTGCGTGGTGTTTCACCCTCGGAAACAAAGCCCTCGGAATTTTTGAGTAATTTTCCTCTCATAATTTGAAAGTAATTGTGGTGAATTGGGGTAAATATGAGAATGTGAGGAAATGGAGAATTAGGGAATATGGAGAATTGGGGAAAATGGAGAAATGGGTAGTATAGACTGAAAATTTGGGAAATATTTTGTTCAAAATATTTGGGCAAGAAAATAGAGGGAAGTACACCGCGTGTTTCTGAATTTTTCTATCATACAATACATTACCGTGGCAATAGCTCCCTTTTTTGTTAAAATAGATAGGCTAATGCAACGGTTCTTTAGAGCCGTGGAAATAGCTCTACCTCTAAGAACATTAGAGTTAAATTCGTGGCATTAGCCTACTCTATTGCAACGACAATTAAAATACCGTTGTATTAGCCTTTATTAAGTCGTTGCATTTGGTCAAAAATGTAGTAGTGTAATTAGGTGTGTTGCCCTATTATAGGTTTGGTTTAAAATCCCTTGGAGGGTCGAGCTTTTACTTCCAGTTGGGCCCTAAAAGGTTTCCTCTTAAAATCTTGTGTGCATTGCAAGTTCCTTTAATATTTTGTTTTATTATTCCGTAAAAAGTAGTCACTAGGAACTCATTACAATTCACCCCCCTCTTGTAGTAGTTCGTCTGAAACTAACACTGAGGTATTTTGTAAATACCACTGAAAATGTATTTTGTACTATTGAGAGTGTATTTTGTAACTGAAGCTCCAATGGTATTATTTGACAGCCTAATGAGACATTTGAACCTTTTTTGAAATACCACTGAAATTATATCTTGTTCCACTGAGAATGTATTTTGTACCGTTGAATCTATAATGGGAAAATTTAAATCCCGCATAAAATGACTAACCTACCCCTGCGAGACACTTCTAAATATCTCTCAACCCTCCGTTTGGAACACCTCAGTGACCTATAAATGCTCATAGTGACCTTTTAATATAGTGACTTTTTTTAAAATTAATAAAAGCAACATTGTGTTTCTAACATTAGTGGTCCACAAGAATCTACTTAAGAGTTTGCACCCGTTTCAAACTGAAATTTAATTGTCAAACGGTTTTGACAGTGCTAGATACAAAACAATAAAAGACAAGGTGAGACAGTTTCTTACTTCCTCTATTCTTTTTTACTTGACGTGTTTCTTTTATCACGCTTGTCAATGCAAAACTTTTTTAACGATAAATAACTTTAATTTCTACAAGTAAAAATTATAAAAGTTATATATTATGATAGTACTTATTGAGACGAATTCAAAAAAATCCCACATGAATATGTTTTTTCTTATATATTATTCACAAAAGACAGTCAAAAGATAGGTGATAAATAGTGTAAAGTCAAAGCGGGTAAAGTAAAAAAGAACGGAGGAAATATAAATTAGTTTGATGTCGGAGTGCATATAGGCGCATAGGGCCTATGTATTTTGCATGCATATAGGATGCAAATTGGGGATTCAGTGGTACATTTTCTTTCTTTTAATGGTACAATGGTACATTTCTTGAACTATTATGCATATAGTGACACATTTTGTCATCATATTTTCTACCACCGATTTTTCTCAGATTCTCATTATTTACGAAAATGTATCGCATTTGCAAGTGAATTATATAGGGCTTATCTGATGTCAACATCGAAAGTCGGATTTATGCGGCCAGCGAAGCTGCCGACTTCCATGGCACCCCACATCCATGGCCTACATAAGCACGTGTCACCCATTCATCTGATCACCTCGTAAGTTGTAAACTTGTAATCAATCCAAACTTCCCCACCCATAATATTATGATATGATATTCAATTATACCTTCTACATCGATCATCAACTTTAATAATTTTGATCGAACTTTACTCCACTTTTCACTTCTCTTTTTTTTGCTGATATATTAGACCAACATCTTGCTCAATAATAATAGTATAAACGAATTACTTGTTCATTAGTTTTTTGATTTACTTGATTTCTTTGAAGAGAAAAATAAGAAGGTGAAAATGGTGATCAGTGATACTACTTCTTCTGCAGATGCTTCTAACAAAACGTTGTGTTGTACCTTTGCTTCTCGCTACGTTCGCGATGCACTCCCTAGGTATGATCTGATCCACTTGTCTAATTTTTGTACTCCACTAGTTTTATTGCTCATAAGATGAAATCATGTTCAATTCCTTTATAGGTGTACTAATTTCTTGTGTAGTTCATCCGTTTCTAAATAATTGTACAATTAGGAAAATTTGTGAGAAACGTCCTTTAAGGGTCCACTTTATTTAAAATAATCTAATTTTTTTTTTTTTTTGCAACTTCATACCCCATTATAAATTTTTTTTGTCAAAAACAACCTAATGCTATTTTTTCCTATTTTTCCGTTGTTGACTCTATTTAGTTTTAGAGGAATTTACACTAATTTTTTTTTATTATTGATCGAAAAAGAGGAATGAGAGAGAAGTAGAGGTTTTAATTAGAGTTAATTGGAGGAAAAAGAGGTGTATTAAGCAATATAAGAGGTCACGTGTCTTGCACTCGTGGTCAACACCGGAAAAAATAGAGTTAACGCCGAAAAGTAGTATTAGGTTGTTTTTGACAAAATAAAATTATAATGTGGTCTGAAAGTTAAAAAAAAATGGAAAAGATTGTTTTAAATAAAGTGGACACTTTAAAAAGTTATTTTTGACAAATTTTCCGTACAATTATGCTTTTTTACGATCTTCAATAGTGCATAGTTAAAATCGTAGTAAAAAAAAATGGATTCTTGTTAGATTGTATTTGCCTTTGCTTGCGTTTTGTGTGCGACTTGTGGCTGCTTGTAATATAACAAAATAACTTTTGTAATATTGATTGAGTAACCTCTACAAGCTACAACACTGTTGAAGTAGCCCTTGCAAGGCTACAATACCGACCAAATAACTCTTTTAACGCTAACGAAGTAAACCCTATACGCTAACAAAGTAACCCCCATAATGGTTAGCCACATATAAGAATTTGTGTTTGCGCTTATATAATAGTGATAATCTATGGTCAAAGTTTTCCTAATAAAATGGTGCAATTATTTACTAACTGGGAAAACGATTTACAAATTATACAATCTCTATTTTTATTGTAAGAAAAATAATATTCACATGGAGTCTTGTAATTTATTGATTTTTATTAATATTTTGTTTTAAGGAGAGTGAAAAATAGAAATGTTTTCTCGCTGAAAAATATTACTTCGTATTAATTAGTTGTAGCCATAGAGATCTCAAACAAATAATTAGATTAGGTCGTGTTTAGATGATGAATCGTGTGAATCCTATTTGTTGAGATTTATTGTAAATTAGTACTTCTTACAGATTATTTTATTTTTTTTTCTTTTCGTTTTTTAAGTAGCAAGCTAGTGGTAGTGGATAATAACAATCAATCAAAGCCTTAATCCTATAAGTGGGGTCGATTTTATGAACCAAACGTGATTATTCCTTGTAGTCATCGACAAAAATCTTCCTCTTCCATCCCTTACGATGAATTGCCTCATCCTCATGCAAATCCATATACTTCATATCCTTCCTAACTCATAATATAACGGTTTGTTGAAAATAATTGATTTGAGAGGAAAGAAAAAAACAAATGGAGGTAGGCATGGGCATGGAATTATGGAAGATGGATTTGGGACAAAAAGTTTTAGGTAAGGTCAAAATCGGGTTATCAATTATAGACGTATTAAATTTTTGAATAAGGTTTCTATGTTAGGTCATATTCGGATTAAGGAATTGTTTAGATTTGGGTCTAGTAGATTTTGATACTTTAAAAAAATTAACTTGTGCTATTCGGATTAAGGAATTGTTTAGATTTGGGTCTAGTAGATTTTGCTACTAAAAAAGGATGTTGTGTAACTAAAACGTCATTTGATCTAACTTGATCTTGCTTTAAGTAATGTGGTTATGCTCATGAGAATTCGTACTACACAGCTTTAGTTTCAAAGACAATAGCTGATTATGCATTGCATAGACAAGAAGTATAAATGAAATTACTCTGTAGTTATATGCTTATTATATATATAAAAAAAAGTGATTTGTCTATATCAAATTTTGTTTGTTTGTCCTATGTACATGAAGGTTTCAAATGCCCGATAAATCAATACCAAAGGATGCAGCTTACCAAATAATAAATGATGAGCTGATGCTCGATGGAAATCCAAGGCTGAATTTGGCGTCATTTGTGACTACTTGGATGGAGCCTGAGTGTGATAAGCTGATTATGTCTTCCATAAACAAAAACTATGTTGACATGGATGAGTACCCTGTTACAACTGAACTTCAGGTAATCCATTCTCTTACTTTGCATTCTAATTCTTATTTGTAACATTATACTGTGGAATATTTGTCATCTGTGGTATGCGTGACTGTACCTAAACATTGTATTACATATACGGAGTAAATAGAATATCGCGTTGCTTGTAGCATTGCACCTGGATAGGTGCCTCTCTTCTCTTGACGTTTTTCTTTGATATTAGCATAATACAAAACTTATAAAGCACTAAAGAAAACAATTAGGGAGGTCTGGCAGTAGTTTACAGTCCGAAGTGTTCTTAGGAATTGATCACGTTCAACCTGTAAGACAATACATTGAATTGAAAGAATTGTCCCACTTGTCGCATCCCCTCCATCCTCCAGTAAATAGACATGGTCTTCATATTCTTACAATCTTACTAATCAGAAGAGGCACAAGAGATTTGGGGTCTGAGTAAACAAGGATCTGTGGATACCTACTGATGATTTGTATCCTAACAAAGAGCATTTAGGCATGCAATAGCCTCTGCATGATTTTCCGAGGTGGCAGCCCTTAAAACCTCCTTCCCCATCCTTATCCAGTACTTGTGCAGTAGAGGTAGTCCACTCCATCCCAGTCCATCTTGCTTCCTTATGCCATGAGCCATCTATAGAGGCTTTAAAAATCCTTCTCTTGATGTTACATTACAATATGTTTTTCGCATTGCAATTAGGATACAAATCATACAATCACCTTTTTTTCATGTAAACCAAGGTAAACTCATCTACATTGCATTCTTCCATGGAAAATTCTTTTTTTTTTATTCCATAAATAACTATTTTCTTAAACCTATTTTCCGTGTACCCAATTGAAGCCTCATCCAATAATAATAATAATAAAAAAAAAAAAAAAAAAAAGAACACTTACAGAGGATTTAAACATGATTTTAACTTATAAGGGTCCATGCATGTCCCTTTCCCTAGGCCAAATATAGAGGATAGGACAGTTGCATTAGTCTATAGTATGTATAATTTTATAAAGATTAGAAGAAAATTAGTGTATGTGCTCTTGATTATCTTTTTTTTTTCCGACAAATCTGAATATCTACTTAACTGTGCAGAATCGATGTGTTAATATCATTGCACACCTTTTTAGTGCTCCTGTTGGAGATGAAGAATCAGCAGTTGGTGTAAGCACTGTCGGTTCTTCAGAGGCAATCATGCTGGCGGGTTTAGCATTCAAAAGGAAATGGCAGCAAAAGAGAAAAACAGAAGGAAAATCTTGTGACATGCCTAATATAGTCACAGGAGCAAATGTGCAGGTGCATAATTAGGATATTTTCCCTTTTCCGGCTTTTCCCTCACTTTTTTTTATAGTAGTTGATCTTTAAACTTTAATCATTAGCTTGTAGCAGCTCGTACTCTATTGCAACGCAAAGCTAAGTGATAAACACTTTATTAAAATTGCAGGTTTGCTGGGAAAAGTTCGCTCGGTACTTTGAGGTAGAGCTGAAGGAGGTCAAATTGAAAGAAGGATATTATGTGATGGATCCAGAGAAAGCTGTGGATATGGTGGATGAGAACACCATATGTGTAGCTGCTATTTTGGGTTCCACCTTGACAGGAGAGTTTGAGGACGTGAAGCTTCTTAACGATCTTCTGACCAAGAAGAACAAGGAGACTGGATGGGACACACCCATTCATGTTGATGCTGCTAGCGGTGGTTTCATCGCTCCCTTTATTTATCCGGATATTGAGTGGGACTTTCGGTTGCCATTGGTGAAGAGCATTAATGTTAGTGGTCACAAATACGGCCTTGTTTATGCTGGTATAGGCTGGGTTATCTGGAGGACCAAAGAAGATTTGCCAGAGGATCTTGTTTTCCACATCAATTACCTTGGATCTGATCAGCCGACTTTCACTCTCAACTTCTCCAAAGGTATGGCAGTAGCCATGAATCTTAGAATAATGTGAAACTTGTGATTTTCTCTGATTTTTCTGCATTAGGTACATATGCTAATTTGTGGTATTGTATGTGCATTAAGAGAATAAGAGATCTTACCATGATTGGGAGTTTGCTTAAAAGTATTAGGAAATTTCACACCAATAATAGTGACAATTAGGTGTCTTTGCAATATAATCTAAAAAATTGATTACAACCTTTTATAATTCCTGCTATCGAGTTACTCTTCTTGAAAGAGTAGTTTTTTGATAGCTTGTTGGCCCACAATGAGCACATTTTTATTAACTTCCCCTCTCCTTCTCTTCTCTGCCTTGCCGCCTTTGCTTCTTGAATCCGGCATTCCAGAATCCCGCGCCCCTCTCCTCTCGTGGACATCTTCCCTGACTAAAGCAGCCAAGAACGTGTGGTAGTAAGGGTGAGATTTTGGTGTTGGTGTTTACTTACAAGGGATCTCCACTCTGCAAGTGAGACTGCTGAATATTGATGGTTGGTGGTAAAATTTAGATGTTGCAAAGGTTAGGTGCAGTTCAGTACGGTAGTTGTAAAGGTGAGATGAAATGAGGAACGGGGATGACCGGATGGGGATGGACAATGGGAATAGTCGATCACATGAATGCTTTACTGATCCTGCATTCTTACATTGTTGCATACTTGCATCAGTACTTGAGTTTGAATCTCAAAGAAAGCTCTCACCAAGTTGTTGGTTGGAACTCTCACACTTTCACTTCAGGTGGTCTTATATATTCACATCTCCCACAAGTGACGAGTACTTAATAATAGGACTAGTGGACAGCTAAGATTATGTGTATTGTGTATTAAATTAAATCCAAAGGAAATAGTGGGCATACATTACCGCAACAGCTTGCATCATAGACATCAATTTAACCCGTTATATTTTTTCTGTTTGCAGGTTCAAGTCAGATCATTGCGCAATACTATCAGTTGATACGGCTTGGCTTTGAGGTGAAAATCCTAACTCTTTCTCATCTGTTCCTCTGTTTGATAGAATAATATGTTACAAGAGAATGTAGCAAAATAGTGGTCCATGGCTCATAATGCAGCAGAAGTGACTGATTATCTACTTGCGTACATATTCCAAAAGCATCAAAGCAGTCACTTGAGAAGTCAGCTACTTTTATCATAGTTAAGCTACTTGAGAAATATAGGTGGTGTCAATTTGTTATGATTCATCCAAATTTCAATATTTAACTTAGCTAATCTCCTTATGGTTAGTGCCAATATGGGCTAGGGCTATGAGAGACTTTTTAAAGCTATTAATCTCATGAAAAACATGGCTTATTTTTGATAAGTTTGCTTGATTTCATTAGACTTGCTTTGTTAACTCGTTACTGGTATATATATTGAAATTACATCAAATCGTATCTAGAATGATAATCAACCTATTATATTTTGATATCTCATACTATTAAACGTGCAGGGTTACAAGCACATCATGGAAAATTGCAGGGAAAATGCAAAGATGTTGACAGAAGAAATAGAAAAGATGGGGAAATTCGAAGTGGTCTCCAAGGATATCGGTGTCCCAGTCGTGGCATTTTCCTTAAAAGACAGCAGCAACTACACTGTTTTTGACATAGCAGAGAGATTAAAGCGCTTTGGGTGGATTGTCCCAGCTTACACAATGCCAGCCAATGCTGAGCACATTGCAGTGTTGCGTGTGGTAGTAAGGGAGGATTTTAGTAGGAGCCTTGCAGAGAGACTTATGTCCAACATCCATCAAGTACTAGATGAGATGGATGCTCACCCTGTCGCGGTATCTAGCAAGTCTTCCCATGTCACCATTGACAAGGATAAAACACAAGGAGACAAGGTTGTTACCAAGAAAGATGTTACAGAGACTCAAAAGGAAGTAACTAAGTACTGGAAAAAGCTTGTTGATCGAACCAAGGCAAACGGAGTTTGCTAGTAACGACGTGCCCTCTCAGTTATGAATCTGTATCATGTTATTGTATCATACAGTTTATTTTGCGGGTCGATCTTTCCTGATTAAGGGATTGCAATTATCTCCAGCTGGGGAAACAAAAGGTTGAATGAATGAAGTGCATGAACTTCTGTTTTGCATGTTATCTCTTAATCAAAATATAGATTCTCACCAAGGGATGCTCCATATAGGAGAATTGTTGTGTGATTTAAGAAGTATATTAGTACTACTCTTGGAGTGCTTAAGAACTATAAATGCTTTTTTGCATTACTTTATTTTTATATTTTATTATTATAGATCATTAATTTGTATCCTGGTTGAAGTAATGCTTAATTTCTTGATTAATTGCTTTTCAGGCTTTATCCTAAAGTTACACATAAGAATTAGCGGAGGTAGTACAATAAGTAGTGTTGTATAAGGCAGACTTTTGTTAATTTTATTGAAAGGCGGTCAACATGATGATAACTTTAACTCATTTAGGGGTAACCTTTAATTTAAAATGAGTTTGACTGTATTTTTATTAGTATACTCTAATGGATTACAAAGGTCAAAGGCTAATATGATCAATTAATTCATTATGTGTGTGTTTTAAGGTTTTAATTTATGTTTAAAAAATGATTAACTTTTATAGTATATAAGAGATAATAAGATTAAATACTTTTAGGGTAAGTTTAACTCGTTCTACACTAAGTTCATGAAAATCCATTTTATAAACTTTTGTGTTACCTCTATACAATTGGTGTGTGTTTTATTCAAACAATGTTGTTGAGAAGCATATTAATGCAAATCATATTTTTTTGTCACAATCCAAATCTTCATGTTCATGAGAGATCTAAGTCCCACACATATTTCTTGCAAATTCTTCCATAGTGATTATCTATTTTAATCCCCACTTTTGTGAATTTAATATTAATTAAAATGTAATTTAATAATATGAAGTTTTCCTTAATTTGTCTTGAAGAGACATATATGTTCACTTATTTGTCTAGAAGGACTTTATATATATTTAAAGTGATCTAAAACGACCTTATAAGTTTGTTTTGTCGTTTGGGGAGACCTTTACGTCGGAATCCTGCCATTAACTTTTTCTCCAGCGTTGACCTCGCACGTGACTTAAAAAAGAAAAAATGGAAACTAATAATCTCACCCTTGGGTTTCTGCTCAAAACAATACCATCTTTTCGAAATCTCAAAACAATCCCACATTTGACCCTTATCTGCTCAAAATGAACCTTTTACCGATTTGGCAAATTAATAACCTATTTAAGAAGGTGACTTTACATGTATCACCTTCTTATTGGTTTTCTTTATTTTTTAATATTTTTAGAAATAGAAATTAATGATTTTAGAATATCAGAAAATAAAAAAATAAAAAAAAAGAAATAATTTTCAGGAAAAAATAAATCAACGAAATCCCAGCCCACCACCGACGCCAGCAACCACCAACCAGCTTTCTCCACCCACCGCCGGCGACCGAATCTGTTCCCCAGCCGACCCACCTCCCTCCTCTTCCGGCGTCGACCCACCCCCCTCCCTTTCCCTGCTTTTTGCCATCTCCGGCGATCCCCACCTTCTTTAAAAGCAAATCCCGCCCACCCTCTCCCACCGTCGGCATCAGATTGGCTTTCCCCTTACCTCAATACCGCCGGAGACCCAGCCTAAACCCTAATTCTAACCCGAAAACCCGATTTGAAGAAGAAGCAGCTACTATGAATTTTTTGAGTTGCAGATTCAATTATGAAGATTGATGATGGTGTTTGAAGCAGCCAAGCAGAGGATCAAAGCCCAAGTTGGAGCAGCCAGCCAGCCAATTCGAATTGAAGAAGAAAAAGGGGGCGGGTTTAGGGGATGGGTTTCAGGTTAGCTGGGGTGGTTGGGGCTTTAGAGTGGTTGGTGTTAAGGCTGGGGGTTTTGTGGGTGGATGCGGGTGGTTTGGTTTCAGGGTTGCTGGGGTTGTGGTCACCTGTCGTGGGGTGGTCGAGGTGAGGAGAGAGAATGAAGGTGGTGGGTGGAGTTAAGGTGGTGATGTGGTGGTGCTTGTGGAAGGGTGGTGGTGGTTATGGTGGTGTGCGACGGTGGAGATGAGAGATTGAAAAAAATATAAATGAAAATGAAAATTTAAAAAATAAAATAAGAAAATAAGAAAATTTAACCTGTTAAACAGGTAGTAGGTTTAAATGCTCTTTTTGAACAAATGGGGGTTAAAGGTGGGATTGTTTTGAAATTTCGAAAATATTGGATTGTTTTGAAAATAAAAAAATCAAAGGTGGAATTATTAGTTTCCATTTTTCCTTAAAAAAATGACCCTCCCCCTTTTTTTCCACGTTTCCCTCTAATTCCTCCTTCTCTCTCCTCTAATCCCCAAATTCTGCCTAAATTTGCACTAAATTAAACACATAACTTCACCATAATGAAGCTATTACAATGGACAAAATGACAAATCAGCATAGTTCCACAATTTCCTTTCTATTCAGAGCTGCTTGAACACCTTGATTGGACCTCATTATCTTGGTCTTCATCTTCTCATGTTCCTCAACCAACCTTTTCTTCTCATGTTCCATACAAGCAATCCTAGCCTTCAAATTAAATCACTAATATCAGTGGCCATTCCTTTTTTTTTCCAGAGATTAGTACATTAACTACATCCTTCTGCCACTCCAAAATATCCTCATCAACCCATTCAAAGTAGTCACAACCCTTCCTCCCTGTCTCAAAATTACAAAATTTGCAACATTTAAACCTCCTACCTGGATTCATGAGTCCATGATGTTTTCTTTGCACAAGAGGAAGCCCACGGTTGCACTTTAATATCTTCCTTTATGGGAAAACATGCTGTAAATTTACGCTTCAACAAACAAAACCAAATAATTTCAGAACCAATTCCATTATAAACCCTAATTTGCAAACTATTTCAATTACATAGAAAATTGAAGACAAAAATCTCAAACATTGATCTTACCTAGTGCGAAAAGTAGTTAATTGAAATAAGATGGAACGAATTTGTTCGAAAATTTTAAAGAGAGAAAGGATTGGGGTTTGGAAGCCACGATCTTGAGGAAATCGAAAGAATTTAAGAGAAAATCTGGCAGAAATTGAGGATTAGAGGAGAGGGAAAGAAATTGGGGATCAGAATAGAGAAGGAGGAATTGGAGGGAAACGTGGAAAAAAAAACGGGAGAGTCATGTTTTTTAAGTCACGTGACAGTCACTTGCAAGGTCAACGCCGGAGAAAGAAAGTTAATGACTAGATTCCAACGTCAAGGTCCTCCCAAACAACAAAACAAACTTATAAGGTCCTTTTAGACCACTTTTAATATATAAGGTTGATGTAAGTCTAAAACACCTCTCCAACAAGTTGTTATGGTATTTAGACCTGGATGAAATGCTACTCACTTTGGAACAACATACAATGATGAAAACTAACCAAAACTTAAGAACACACTCAAAGTTCTGGGTTCTTAGGCTAGAGACAAGACACACTCAATCTCTCCCTAATCTTGTCACTCAAGAACTAACTCAAAGCAACAAGAAACAACACTCAAACTTTGGACAAACACAAAGAAGAATGCTAGCAACCTCACGGTTTTATGTATAACTCCAAAACTGATTTTATTTCTGGTTTGCTCTCCCTTTTAGAGGAAAGGAGCAGCAAAAAAGCACACCAAAAGGCATGAAAAACCATCCAAAAGATGGAGAGCCAAAAGCCACGGTTTTCCTTAAACAAGCTAGCTTAAATGCACTAATTAAGCCTAAAGATGAAGAGTTAAACTCTTCCTATTACAACCGGCCAAAGAGCAACTCTTTGAAAGGAATGGTGTCCTTCCAACATGTGTATTCTTCCGATAGAGGGTTCAGAATTATTACAGAGCTAATTCTTCAGTAAGGTCAAGTGATCGGAATGCCTAGGTGGAGGCCGCTTCCGATCAGTAATATCGAGATACAATTGATATTACAGCTTGATCTTAACCGAACCCTTCAGGTCGAACCCAATCGAATCACCGATCCGAGACAACGAATTAATCCGAAAGAATTTAATGAGTCGACAGAGTTTTACGAATACAGACGTCGAAAATCGAGCCTAGGGCGTCGAGACTGAGCGTCGCAAAATCACAAAGCGACAAGTACGAACATAGCCCTAGCATCACACTGGCCTAGCCATGTGGATGCTAGGCTAGTTCGAGCTAGCATGCACCTAGCATGGCTAGGCGCACCATCGCAGCCTAGGTGCACCATCGCAGCCTAGGAATGCGCATGGCAGCCTATCGTAGGGCACCTCAAGTCCCAGGCAGCCCATCGCAGCTAGCAGTGTGCTAGTCTGGGTGCCTAGGTGCGCATGGCAAGCCATCGCAAGTGCTACAAGCACCAGGCAGCCCATCGCAGCTAGCAGCGCGCTAGCCTGGTGCCTAGGTGCATGTGGTAGTCTATCGCAGCACGCAGCCCTTGCTAGGCACCATCGCAAGGCATGGCACCACGCACATCACCATCGCAATGCTAGGGGCATGCGTGTGTGTGCCTCACAGCCTCGCATTGCAGCCGCATTGATGCGTATGGGCTGGTGCGTGTGTGCGTGCAATGGGGTGACTGGGTTGCTAGGCAGCAGCACCACGCATGCATGTGCGTGTGCGTGTGTGCGTGCCTCGCACCAAGCACAGCAGTGCTAGGCACTGGCTAATGCGAGCGATGCGTGGTGCATGGTGCGTGTTGCGTGGATGATGCGAGGGAAGGGCCAGCATGTGTGGCTTGCTAGCAGCACGCATGCTGGCTGTGCTAGCAATGGCGCGCAAGGAGATGTGCGTGGCTGCTGGGGGCCAGTGCCAGCACTAGGTGCTAGCAGCGCCTAGCGCTAGCACGTAGCACCAGCACAACCCAGCAGCAGCATGCACTGGCTGGCTGGCTGGGTGCTGGGCAGCAAGGCGGCGCTAGCTGGCAGCCCCAGCTGGCACGCTAGCTGGAAGCCAGCTAGCACACCTTGACCCGGTTTTGGGCATGGTGTGTGGGGACCAATACATGGCCTTGGGGATCAAGGCAATGGTCCCCCCAAGCCTTGGTCCTCACTTGGCTTTCTCTATAATTATGCCATGTGTCGATTTGTGATTGAATTGATTAATTATTTAATTTTGGAATTAAATAATTATCATTTCGCCAACTCTCCCACATTGATGGGAGATCCGAAATCAAGGGATCATTTCCCTATAAATACCAAGCTTGGTATTGGGATTTGATACAACCTTGAGTGGATTAACCACCTAAGTTAGTTACTAGTTTTGCGTGTTTAATTATGGATTTTGTAAAATTGCATGGGCCGTTCACAAATAGTGAACGGGTGAATGAAAGATTGCTTTCAAAACAGGTTCTTT